TCATACGCCGTGTAGATCGACGTGCTATTGCTTGTCTGCTGCATGCAGGAGGCAGGGAGTGCAAAAGCATTGACCGTGCCATTAGGCTGCTTCGGTACGGGTTTGGCGAACCGAAGATCCCCTACGGGAGGCTCTGCAAATGGAACCCCCAGGAACTGACGGACATCGGGGGTAGTGAGGTTGACGAAGCCTTGAACTGGGCCGCTGGAGGTCTGGACAAGAAGTCCTTCTCCCAGGATTGAGCCTGGTGAGATGGGGGATGCAGATGACCCGGGGCCTAGGTTCAGTAAGGCGATGAGCCCCACCGCTGCGCGAAGAGTATCTAAAAACATGACGATGATGTGTGATGGATAGGTATCACGGATTGAACGATGGGAGACAGCGGCCTTTTATGTCTCAACTCGCGCAACCCCGCCCAAGGACCCGGGAGATTGAACGTGGCCTTCATCGCTTGGGGTTAAACGGTCTGTTGAAGATCAAGAGGAACAGGGAAAGGGTTCTCCCGTCGAAGCTTTTCGGACTGTCGGTCAGCTATAAGAATCTAGGACGGGACGATTGGTTTTCGCGGCGATTCTTTGTAAGGACTGTGCTTGTACACATTCTTGGCACTCTGCTGGCCGCTGATGAAGGTTCAGTGCTTGACTTGGCGGGCATGCAGTAGCCATACGTCTTTCAACAAGTATCGACGAATTCATCGACACGGGATAGACAACCAGGGTTGCTTTCAGGGATTCAGGAACAGTGGAAGGGGTCGACAAAGAAAACGCGGGGTGCATTCGGGGGGGTAAGAATTTTGGTAGCTGTGGGGTAATCCGGGGGAGCCGGGGAAATATGTTGATCTGGATGAATGCAAAGCCCAGTTATGCAGCCGAGGTTGATGGTGTGGTCTTGTCTTCATCCCGGCTGAACCTTTTGCCCGCCCCCTCAGGCCAAGACATGACAACGAGCATGGGCCTCGCGACCTGAGCTGATGGTGCGAAAATCATGGCAAACAGTGAACAATGCTTCCGCGCATCAATGTCTCACTAGTACTACAGCGCTTTTGAGGGTGTTCAGCGACCACAAGACCGTATATATGTTTCAAGGCTGGGATCTCTTTCTACATATCGAGGCATCAGGCAGTCAGCAATCTGGCTTGATCAGGGACTTGCTGAGTACCTGCTTTGCATTGCTCTATCTCGCAAATTCATTGCCCTTATCTTCAATCTTCCAGACCGGGTCGGACTCGCCCTATCAGCCATGCCATGATGGATTTATCACACAAAAGCTGTCAGACAGCACAACAATAACGCATTTTGAACAGGTCGATGAGTCGTTGGGGCTTTGGATGCCGCTCTAGTGACAACCTGCAAGGGCGGGTGGCCCACAGTTGGCCGATGGTATGATCTTTCCATGAGTTGAGCGACGACTTCTGCTTAAGCGAGAGTGTCTGCGAAAGGACTGAGGAGCGCACCAAGTGTTCTCAGACGTCCTAGAGTGCACCGTGGACCTCGGATGACATAACCTGGCTAAGCACTCTTGGCAACCTGGCAAGCTTTCCCTTTCGGGCCGTCCTTCTCCCTGTGGTTAGACTCGGAACCAGCAAGCCCAGCAAGCCCAATCACCACCGGGTCAATGCAGGAAATCTAAGCAGCTGCCCGGGTACTGCCCATTCAACTGATGCCGAATTGCAAGGCTGACCTGGCCCGATTCGAGACCAGATCTCACCGGATTGTGTGTCGAGGGCCGACTTGTCCTAAGGATTGTCGGCCGAGCTCATCATGGATTCATGGCTCACAATTTTAGTCGACCACGGCCACGACGGATCCCTGGATGATGTGGATGCCAACGCAACCGTCCTATGATTATTGCAAAATGTCGCAGTCCCCCGTCAGACAGTCAGACACAAACTGACCATGGCGAAGTGGATACCGGCCTCGGTCAACCTCCGCGCTCCCCTTCGGAAAAATTCTGGGTCTTCCCCCACTCTGGGGTGCATTCTTTGCGGAGAACAAACAGCTGGAGATGTCGAATCAGCCAGGCAATGACTGGAAGGAAGCCGACGCTTCAACCTCTCTGCTCACCGGACTCTCGCTGGTTTAGCCACTTTGCCGACTGCTCGTGGGGGGACGCACGTATCTTGACTCTGCTTTCCCCCATCCCACCCAAACCCACTCTCTGGCCAAATGACAGCTCAGCTCTCAAAATCCGGACACTTGTGTTCCGCGTTGCCGTTTCAGCGAAACCCAATCCGAGCTGCAGGAAGCAAGTCAGCCATGACTACTACCCAAGTCAGCCGACGAAGTACCGACAGACGTGGGGTGGGAGATGTCTGAATCTGGGCGGGATGATACTTGCGGGGATCAGCCCATAAGCAAGATAACAGCCAGCTGCGTGTATCCGGAGGCTGCCTCAGGGGGTAGTCCTTCTTGCGTTCTTCCCACTTACTTGAATCCCTCGCTCCATCCTCTTCCTAAGGTTTTTTTTCTTTCCACTGCATAGCTCCTGCCTTGCTCTTGACACAGCCAAAAGCCGAAGTCAGAGCCAATCCGAGTCAAGATGCAGGGATCAGCCCTCCGCTATGCCCAAATTTTCTTGGTCTCGCTACCTTCCTTCGTCCTGTTTGGATACAATCAATCTGGTGTAGGTGGTCTGGATGATTTCACCTCCTGGATCCGACAATTCCCCGAAATCGACACCGTAAACACGACCGGGGCTCAGGAAAATCACAATGCCACCGTGCAAGGCGCAGTGGTGGCCTCCTACACAATCGGGGCTCTCATCGGGGCTCTTTCCTGTACGACAGTGGGGGACATCCTCGGTCGCCGGCGAACGATCTTCGTGGGAGCGCTGGTGGCCCTGATCGGACAGGCCCTGGAGTGCACGGCGTTTGCTCTGTCGCAATTTGTCGTGGGCCGAGTGATCCTCGGTGTGGGTGTGGGCATGCTGAGCGCGACCGTGCCGGTTTGGCAGTCGGAATGCTCGCCTGCGGCGCAGCGTGGACGCAACGTGGTGCTGACGGGCATGTTCATCGCGCTGGGGTTTGCGCTGACGCAGTGGGTCAACTTCGGCTTCTACCACATGCAAGCGTCATCGGCGGCCTGGCGCGTCTCGCTGGCCATCCCGGCCATCTTCTCCTTCATCGTCATGGGCAGCATCTTCTTTCTGCCCGAGTCCCCCCGGTGGCTGGTCATGAAGAACCGGCCCGACCTGGCGCAGCGCACGCTGGCTGCCCTGCGCGGCCAGGCGCTCGAGTCCCTCGAGGTGGTCGCCGAGCTGCGCGCCTTTGAGGTCTCCCTCGAGGAGACCTCCAACGGCAACCTGCGGCTGCGCGACATCTTCACGATGGGCGAGGAGAAGCTCTTCTACCGCTTCTGCCTGTGCATCATGCTGCAGTTCTTCCAGCAGATGAGCGGCGGCACGCTCATCTCGGTGTACATCCCGACGATCTTCGAGACCGACCTGGGGCTGGGGGCCAGCCTGTCCAAGATCCTGGCCGCGTGCGCCCTGACCTGGAAGTTTTTGTGTTGCTTCGTCGGGTTCGCCATCATCGACCGCATGGGCCGCCGCACCGCCTTCATGGTCAGCGGCGGCGGCATGTCGCTGTGCATGCTGGCCCTGGCCGTCTCCAACTCCTTCCAGGACAACCACACCGCCTCCATCGTCTCCGCATTTTTTATCTTTTTGTACAACTTCTTCCTGCCCGTCGGCTTCCTGGGCGCCAACTTCCTCTACCCGGCCGAGGTGGCCCCTGCGCGGTTGCGCGTGGCGATGCAGTCGTTCGCCATCGCCAATCAGTGGCTATGGTATGTGCCTTGTCCCAGTCTGTCATTTACATAGTAGAGTCTAACCCCGTGTAGGATGTTCGTCGTGGCAATGATCACCCCCGTCGCCGTCACCGACATCGGCTACCGGTACTACATCGTCTACACCGTCATCGCGGGCATCATCCCGCCCGCCATCTACTTCTTCTACCCCGAGACCAAGAACCGGTCGCTCGAGGAGGTGGACGAGATCTTCCGCGACTCGCGGTCCATCTTCGAGGCCGTCGCCATGTCCAAGCGCAGGCCCGTGGGCGATCGGGTCGTCGAGCAGTTCATGGAGAAGGCGACTGTGGAACAGGTGGAGTAGTCGCTGTCGTCTGCAGCATAAAACATAGAGTAAGTCCATACTCATGGTGATAATGATGTATGGCTGTATGGTCTAGAGTCTAGATGAATAGATTGCGTTTCTGAGAGCTGCTGCTTCTCCTTTGCGCATGATAACCAAGTAATTTGTGTTGGTTGGTGGGATGAGTGCTACCCTTCTGCTTGAGGTCTTGTGACTTCGTCCTTTTGGACCTACTGCCGTGTAAGCTATACGGTGCAACTGGGATCGTCCAAAGACTACCGTAGTACTGTACCTAGTGCAGTCCAGCATTGGTCACTGATCACCAACGAACAAGCAAACATTTCGAGATACTTAAAAACACTGCCCGGCGGTACAGTACACCTCTAGGCTCCCTCGCCCCGTCCTCTGATTTACCCCGCAATATCGCCGCCGCCGCTGTTGATCTTCCTGTCCCTGCTCACCCTACAAGTACAGTAGACTATACTGTACATATACATTTACGTACATCCTCCGAAACCAGGGTCCGATCGTCATCGTCCAAGGAAATATGACTGCATTGGGTAGTGTATACATGGCTTGTACGCAGCTCGAAGGAGGGCAAATAACATCATACTACTCCGTATCTTGGCGTGGACTTTTCGCCTCCTTCTCGCGAGCGCTGGGTTCATTGCAGCAATGAGTCCACTTGTGTGATGAATGATTGCACACTGTGCCATGATGCAATGATGCAGCTCAACGGGGGGTTTTTGTGGGCACTGACCCCGCCCCGCTTCGTTATCAAGAAGAGAAGCATACAATCCCCTGAGCCAAACAAGACAAGAAGAGGGTTCGGGAAACGATATCATTAGGCGAAGGGAGATACGCTAACAGCTAAATCACGCCGCTTTGATCTCCCATGCAAGTAAGTACATCAGTTTTGATTGGCATTGTACCGGTACATATCAACATTAATGATCGGGTGTAAGGGGTTGAAGCTAGGTCAAGGTGTAGCCCCCGTCGACCCGCAGATCGGCGCCGGTGATGTACCGGGAAGCGTCACTGAGGAGGAAAGTGACGGCGCCCATCAGGTCCTCGGGGGTGCCCATCTTGCCGACGGGGATCAAGGAGATCCACTTGTCGCGGAGGTCGGGGTTCTCGTCGAGGATCTTGCGCGTGCTTGTTTGGAGGGGGGGGGGGTTTTAGCAGGCTTGAAGCTCAAGTTACTGGGGGTTGCGGGAAGCTTACAGGGCTGTCAGCATATACCCCGGGCTGATGCAGTTGACGCGGATGTCGTGGCCGGCCCATTCGACGGCGAGGGAGGCGGCGAGGTGGCGGACGGCGGCCTTGGCGGCGTTGTAGGGCGCCTGGGGCTGGGGCACGTTCACGATCGCCCCGGACATGCTGCCGATCAGCACCATGCTCCCCGCGACCTGCCGCTCCATCAGGTGCTTGGCGACCCCCGTCGCGAACAGGTAGGTGCCGTCGACGTTGACGCCCCACAGCTTTTGCATGCGGTCGTGCGGGTACGAGATCGCGTCGAAGTTCTCCGTGAACCCCGCCGAGGTCACCAGGTGGTCGATCTGACCGTGCTGCGCGATCACCTCGGCGATGGCGCTGCTCACGGACTCCGGGTCCGAGACGTCCGAGTAGTGCGCCGTCACGTTGGGCATTCTGCGGGGTTGTCAATCAGCGTGAGACCACCGCGTCCAAGGTCGGGGAGCAATCGTGACGTACTGGTCCGCCTCCAATCCTGGATTCTCTTTCTGGAACTGTTCCACCAGCTTCTTCGCTTGTTCTTCGGCCTCCTGCTCTGTGGTTGACTCCGTCAGTCCCTGATCGATGGCTGCCACCCAACCCAGCCCAAATCAACCGGGGACAAGACCTACTGTTCAGATCGACAATGGCGAGATCCGACCCCGACGCGACAATCGCCTGCGCCATGACCAGCCCCAGCCCGCGCGCACCCCCCGTCACCAGCGTCACCTTGTTCTCCAGTGAGAAGTGGGCCAGCGTTCGCTTGAAGTGCATCCCGCCGCGGCCCTGCACGACCGGCGAGCGGGGCATGTGTTCGTCGTCCGGGTATTCGATCTTGACCTTCTCGTCCGTCCGCGCGTACTGGCCTTCCGCCTCCAGCGCGCCCCCCGGGGCCGTGGTGGTGGCCGCCAGGAGGGGGTCTTGCGTGCTCTTGCGGGCGTCCTTTCGGGGCGGAGCTGTGGAGGTGAGGGGGCGGAGGAATGCGGTGGTTGGGGTTGGGCGCGTGGATTGGCTGAGTGCCTTTGCGGCTTGCCGGACGACTGCGGGTCTGAACATTGTGAGGGGAGTGATGAGACGCTATATCGATGCGGTTAGTGAAGGTTGTTGGGGGATGAGTAGGTCAAATGGTAGGACGACAGAGGAATTGGCGTGTATTAGTATAAGTATCTAGGGACACTTACAAGTAGGGAGATGATGAGCACAGTGGAGGGAGAAAGAAAGGGTCTGATCAAGAGAGAGGAGATGCAGGGCCTAAAAGGCAAACAAACATGGGGGCAATGAATCCATCGAAGGCAAAACCAGGAGAGGTCAGGTCAGGGTCGGAGCGAATGACAATTCAAAATGTCAAAAACGGATTCAAGGGCTGGGCTGAAAAAGGAACCGGCATTGCCCCAAAGAAGAAAGCAGCCCTCCATTAAGTTATTCCAAAGGGAGTCGATAGATAAAGCTGAGGAGCCGGGGAATGAGTATACGTATACTCCGCCGCGGCGGTTGTTGTTGTTATTGCGGCTGTTGCGGTGTGACCCAGCCGACTGGTTGGGTTGTTTTCCCTCCACAACCCCCCGTTTACCACCCTCTCGCCGCTACAAGTCTTCTGGAATATTGCTTTTTTTCTCACAACTCCCAATCGCAGGTGATGTCAGGCGGTGATGAGGCATCGCTGGGCCAGGCCTCAACCGCCATGCAGCGATCGGACCAGGATTGTGCTCTTCGCCTCCGCGTGACTTGACCACAGAGTGGCCTCAGACCGGCCTTCTGGACGATCCCCTGTCGGCTTCGACTAGTCAGAAGTATGGAATCCGCGGGAAGAAACCTAGTCCTTCTTCGTGTCTGACTTGTGACAGAGCCATGACGGATGCTTGAGAGCTGTTGTTGGAGCGGTGACAGACAACTTGGAAGAAACTCATATCATCGACATCAACCGACTGCCGGGGGCATCCAATCATCGCCAATGTCTCCGATCTATCTTGTCGATGAAATAAAACGCGCCAAGCGACGACTGCTCAGAAATCCAGACCAAGCTCGGTTCCTCAGCTTCCCCCTTCCCCCCTTCAGCGGTTCATTCTTCCTTCACCTGGCCACATGACCCAGCCAGGGTCTCACAGACCGGGCTATCTCTATCTTATCTATATTTATATCCGCCCCAACAACGTCTTCCAGCCACGCCCAGCCCCTTCTCGATCCTTGTCAATTTACACATAGCCTCGACCCAGTGGACCCGGTAGATACGACCGCCACCGTCATCTCATTTCTTAGACTACTACCCCAGGTTGCAAACGTCAAGTAGGCTACGCCAACAGCGGAGTTGCCAGATTGATGTAAACCCCCAACCCCGCGGATACCTGCGGAGCGCCACCTACCTCCCCCCAACGAGCCCATGAATCTACTATACACACTGTACTGCAGCTGGCAGCTGTCGTCGCAACCTGTCCACGAGTTCCGTACTTTTATCAACCCCCATCCCTCCTTTGCACCAAGTACTTGTAAAACTGAGGATGGAGGAGGAGGGGGTCTTACACAGTAAATGGCGGGACCCTCTAATTTCCTGGGTGGGCATCCCGCGCTGATCGGGGTGTGGGGATCGGAATGGGGGTCGGTCGGTTGGGCACAAGCCACGAGCGGCGAGCCCCAAGCGTATGGATCCCATATCCCATTCAAAACAGTTTCGAAGGGGAGGGAAATCCTCCGATACCTGGCCATTGAGTTACTCAACGCTCTCCTCTCTCTTGGTCGGTATGACAGCGACAACTGCGGCGCTGCTCCCGGCGCCTGCTTTAAGGGGAGGCCGTATGTATGATTTATGCCGCGGGACGCGGGTTGCAACTCAATGCTCGGTGCAGGACTCCGTAGCGGCGGTGTCGCTCTTCGCGTTTACGGGTTGTCAGTGAGAGATTGACAGTTAGCATAATACCGGATGATCTGTCAGTTCCCCCTCTACGAATGGGTTATCTCCATCCGAGGTAGCAGTATACCAGCGGCTCCTGCTCCTAATTCATAGCAAGCGGTCTACATCGAAGTTTCAGGAATCAGTTTAGGCTCCATCCATCCTCCGCTCACACCAACGTCGCCTTATGCTGCAACACCCCCAAATTACGGAGAGCTGGTGCTTCAAGTTGAGCTTACCAAGAACAAGGGATTGCATTTATAAGTTGAATGACGCTCCAAAATCAACACCGAATACACGACAGAAATTGCCCGCGAGACCGCTCAGTTGGCACATATACGGACCCTCACCGGTTGACCTGGGTCATGTCTACATTTTCTAAGCGCAAAACTGTCGCTCGAGATCCATGTTTCTCTGCTTCACTCACCGCCGCTCTCCTCTGCGAACTCGACCAGCGGCGTCCCGCTTTTGCATTGATCCTGCAAGGTACCTGTTAGTCATCTGACTGCAGCTGTTTTCCCTGGCAAAGCGAAACAAAACAATGAAAAAGGTTGCGAGTGGGGAATCGAGCTCCGGCGACGGTGTAGTCATCCGGAGAGCACGGTCACACAACCCCACGAACGTAGAGAAATGGACGAGGACAAGCCCCAGACAATTCCAGTCTGGAAAACCTAGAACAATCCGGCTAGAAGGTGCGAGAATCTCATCCTGTCCAAACCCCTGGAAGATCGCCCAGAGCAGGCGAGATGGCAAGACGAAACAATAATCGGGCAGGGATATAGATAGCAAAGCTCTGACTTACTCCTTTCTGATGGACCACTTTGGCAATGACACCCTTATGTGGGCTGCGGATGACCGTCTCCATCTTCATGCTCTCGATCACCACAAGCGGCTGATCCTTTTCGACCGTGTCGCCGGCGGCCACCTCCACGCGCAGCACTTTGCATGGCATCGGTGCGAGAACGCTGTTCTTGACGTCCTTCATGCCCAATGCTTTCTCCATCCATTTGGCCGGTGGGATGGTCAGGCGGTATTGCGTGCCCTTCTGGAAGGCAATGATTGTGTCCGCGTCGCGGATGACTGTGGTGTCGAGGCGGGTGTGGGGGAAGAAGGAGGTGATGATGTTGGAGTTCGAGTTGTCGTGGCTGACGACCTGTTCGAACACCACGCCTTGTACGGTGACGTTGTATGTATTGTCGCCGGTTTGCTGGATGCGGACCTCGTGTCGCGAGTCATCCTTAGCGCCGGGTGTCAGGTCTGCAAAGGATACCTGATGCGCCTGGTAGCCGGGGCTAAAGCCAATCCCTGAGCCCTCGAAGCTAGCCTGCACGCGAGACGCAAGGCTGGCATCCCGTTGCAGACAGGCCAGTGCCACCTGGGCCAGCACCTCAGGATCAATGGTCTTCGCCGGAAACAATTCCGCGCGGTGCTTATCGATGTATCCAGTCTCCACGTCCCCAGAGATAAAATCAGAGCTGCGGCAGATGGTCTTCAAGAATTCGATGTTGGTGATCGGCCCCGCGATCTCGTACTCTTCCAGCGCGGCGGCGAGTTTGCGAATGGCTTCCTCTCGCGTGGCGCCTCGCACGATGAGCTTGGCGATCATCGGGTCGTAGTGGGCGGATACTTCGTCGCCTGCGACAAAGCCTGCGTCGATGCGGACATCCTCGGTCGCGGCGGGCGTGCGGACGTGCAGGAGGGTGCCAGAGTCTGGGATGAAGCCCTGATCGGGGTTCTCGGCGTAGATGCGAGCTTCGATCGCGTGCCCGCTGGTAGCCATGTAAGCCTCCACCTCGTCCTGGGTCAATGGCAATGGAGCGCCTTCGGCGACCTTGATCTGCCAATGCACCAGGTCCTGGCCGGTCACCATCTCCGTGACAGGGTGTTCGACCTGCAGTCTGGTGTTCATCTCCATGAAGAAGAACTCGCCGCTGTCGTTGTCAAAGATGAACTCGACCGTGCCCGCGCCCTCATAGCCCACCGCCAGTGCGGCTGATCTAGCCTTCGCCCAGATGTCTTTCCTGGTCGCATCTGGGAGATGGGGAGCAGGGGACTCTTCCAGGATCTTCTGGTGTCGCCGCTGGATGCTGCAGTCGCGCTCTCCCAGGGCCACGCAGTTTCCATGCTTGTCGGCGAAGACTTGAACTTCGATGTGACGCGGTGTGGTGATGTACTTCTCCACGAGAACGTGATCATCCCCGAAGGAGCTCATGGCCTCCGACTTGGCGGACTGGAGCTGGGCCTGGAAATCGGCTTTGGAGTGTGCGATGCGCATGCCCTTGCCGCCTCCGCCTTTGACTGCTTTGATCAGAACGGGGTACTTGATTCTGTCGGCCTCTGCCTCGAGGAAGTCGGCGTCTTGGTTTTCACCATGGTAGCCGGGCACGCACGGGACACCCGCAGCGGTCATGATGTTTTTGGACTGGCTGCTTAGAGTCAGTTCTGTAGTAAGGTGGAAGTGCATCAGTCAGCCTACCTCTTATCACCCATATCCTCGATCGCTTTCCATGGCGGACCAATGAAGACCAGCCCAGCTTCTGTGCATTTCCTTGCAAAAGCAGAGTTCTCACTCAACTAGATGCTATGAGCTTTCAGGTGCATATGGCCCAGTACCAGGCAGTCACTCACAAAACCATATCCCGGGTGTATCCCTTGACAGCCCTCCCTCTTCGCGATCTCGATAATTCGGTCCCCGTCCAGGTAAGCCGAAACCGACCCGAGATTATAGGCGAACGGCGAGCTCAAGGCATGTTGAGCTTTGCTGTCCGGATCTGTGTAGAGCGTCGTCACCCGGATACCATGCTGGGCGGCCGTGCGTCCGACTCGTCTATTTGGTGGTCAGGTCAGTCACTGCAAAGCTTAGATCAGCAACGGAAAAGCACACACAGTGCAATCTCTCCTCGATTCGCGATCAGGATCGAATCCAAGGACTTCTGGGTTGTAGCCGCATCGGCGGAGAGGGTGGAAGCTGCTCTTCTGGCTCTACGAACCGCCGTCGGCCCTAGGCGGGATGTAGTCCGGAGAAGCGCTGAGAGGGTCATCACGAATGACCAGAATAGAGGTTCGCAGGGGATCAGTCAACAAAGCTCCAGGATGCTCGCAGATAGTCGCATATTCTTGCTGTAATGTAAGAACAAGACTCCGGATCTCGAATCAATCACATCGGTAAGTTGAGCAACCGGCGAGCAGCAACCCCGGTTCTTGTAGATGCAACCTCTCCCCCCAGCTTGTTGGAGCGGAGACCCCCTTGGGCCGACGCAAAGCGACGGCTGCGGGGAAGCCGCTGCACGTGACCGTGGACTCCACCGGCCGGGTTTTTTTCGAAGACTGAAAGAAACGAAACCGGGTCAGCAGCCATTGCATCAGAGTCAGTCGTCAGTCGTCAGTGTCTGTCTGCCTGCCTGCCTGCCTTCCCTCTCCCTCTCTCTCCATTCGCGATCGACACTTCGGTCGCTAGCCTCCTTTGTTGTCTCTGCGCGCGCTCTTTCTCTTTGGTTCATATCTCTGTTTATCTCATTCATTTTTTTTTTACCTGATCAGTATATACACAACACCAGAAGAAACCAACGAACACCAAGTACTGAAAATCTGACGCGCAACTTTTCCTTCTTCTATCACCCTCACTTTCAACTCACCACCACTGACACCTTTGCGGCTGCAAAGAAAAATACCTCCGATTACACAACATCATCCCTCACTTCCAACCTACACACGACACCTATACCTTTAAAACACATACCCAAAAGACTAAGGGGTCCGAGACAATGTCCGACGACGAAGACTATTACGACGAATACGACGAGGATATCTTCTGGGTGGAGGAACCCGATCCCACCATTGCTGTACGTACTGTCAAACCCACCTACTTGCCTGAGACATTGACCCAGAATCGCATCTTACACCCCAATCAACCTCCCTTTAACACACTCTCAATTCCGTCCCCCTCACTGACAACACCTGCCACAAAAAAAAAGGACGACTTAGCAGCAACCTCCACCAACGACGCCATCTTCTACGACCACCCCGCCCTCGAAGTCGAAGACTACTTCTCCGACTGGGACGATCTGTCGGATGACTACTACGACGAGGATCCGACCGCCGTGCGCCGCGCCCGCGCCTTGGGCCTGTTACCTGCCGGCGACGGCGACGGCGGCCATCATGACAAGCAGCACAGCCACCCTCCCCGCGCTGCTGCTGTGACCAAACACCCACGTGCACCAAAATCGGCTGCCCAAAGAACCCCGTTTTTCGATCTCGGCGCGTTCCAGAGTGTGGTCTGGAAATCCCCGCACCAGGAGAAGGAACAACAATCGGTGGTCGCGTTGCATGAACCCGGCGAGGGGGAGAAGGTGGCGCTGCTGAAGAATTGGCGCGAGGTGTTTCGGAGTGCCAATCCTAGGATGACCGCTGCCGTGGGCGTGGTGGCGGGGACCGGGGCTGGGAGGAAGCCTGCGCCGATTCAGCAGCAGCAGCAGCAGGGGTTGTGTTTGCGGGGTAGTAGTGCGGGGGCGGAGGGGAGGGGGGATGCGGAGAGTCGGGAGGTGGATGGTGTTGTTGCTACTACGATGGAGGAGGTTGGGGATGATATAGGGAAAGGTGTGGGTAAGGGTGGTGTGGTTAATGGGGAGGGGTTTGTCGCGGCGGGCTTGGTCATCGACGGTGGTGAGGTTGGGGATGGGGGTTCTTTCGAAGGAGGGGGTCCTAAAGCTGAAGCTGCCGCCGCCACCAACGGGGTGGTAGTAAATGAGGAGGCGGCGGATGGGTCCTCGCTCGATGAGTCGGTCGCGAAACCGACAGCGCCCCGGTCCAGGAAGCGCAAGGCCGATGATGCGGTCGACGATATCCCGGAAACTGCAGCAAAGACCCGGGCCAAGAGGGTCGCATCCTCCACGAAAGCCGGAACGGCTAACAGCAGTAAAGATGCCCCCGTCCCCGTACCTGCTGCTGCACCGTCGGCCCCTGTGCGCAGATCAGCGAGGAATAAATAACGGAACGCAATCCATCGCGAATGAGCGTTATGATGTTATGACTTTCTTGATATTTGTGCAGTTTATACAGATTTGTTGAACCCGACATACTAATTAATCTCTGGTTCTATGCGTACTCCTTGTTGAATGCCCGTCCTATCACCATCCGCCGAATCTCGCTCGTTCCCGCCCCGATCTCGTACAACTTCGCATCTCGTAGCAGCCTCCCCGCCGGAATCTCGTTGATGTATCCGTTGCCTCCCATGAGCTGGATGGCATCGAGCGCGCATTCTGTCGCTCGCTCCGCAGCATAGAGGATCGCCCCGGCGCAGTCCTGGGTGCGGATGATGGCTCCGGACGGAGAACCGGCCGAGTTATCGATCTGCCGGGCAGTCGCGTAGGTGTAGGCCCGCGATGCCGCCAGTTTGGTGTGCATGTCGGCGAGCTTGCCTTGGATCAGCTGATTGTGAGCGATCGGCGTCCCAAACTGTTTGCGGACGTGCGTATAGGGCAGCACGAGATCCAGCGCAGCCTGCATGATTCTGTAAATTCGTTAGCTCCGGGACATACTCAGTCTTCTCGTCCCCCTCCACAGCCAGTCAAGTCAACGCCAGACAGAGAAAACATACCCCAGAGGACCCGCACTGAGCACCAGGCGCTCCAGATCCAGCCCCTCCATCAACACCTTCACGCCGCGATTCACCTCGCCGAGAACATTCTCCTTCGGGACGAAGACATCTTCAAAGACAAGCTCTCCAGTGTTCGAGCCACGCATGCCCAGCTTGTCAAGCTTCCGGGCGCAGGAGAACCCCTGAAACTCCTTCTCGACCACAAATGCGGTGATACCCTTGGACCCCTTCTCCGGCTCCGTTTTGGCATAGACCACCACGTAGTCTGCATCTGGGCCCTGCGCGTGCGGTCAGCATGTACTTAGAGCAACCAAGCCAGTCCGAGCGAAGGTCTCTCACGTTCGTAATCCACATCTTCGTTCCGTTCAACACCCAGCCCCCGTCTACGGCCTTCGCCGTTGTCTTCATACTCACGACATCGGACCCGGCCGAGTGCTCCGACATGGCTAGCGCACCGACTTTATCTCCCGAGAGAAGCCCGGGGAGGAATCGTTCTTTCTGGTCGGCGTTCCCGTTCAGGGAGAGTTGGTTGACGCAGAGTTGGGAATGGGCGGCGTATGAGAGAGCGATGCTTCCTGCTCGTACATCCATGGGTCAGTGAATCACTGCGTTTCCCGCCCAGCCAGATGGAGAGACAAAGGGAAAGTTGTGCATACCAGAGGCACGACTGATCTCCTCCATGACTATGCAGTGGGCCTGGTAGCCCATCCCGAGACCGCCATACTCCTCGTTCGCGGTGATGCCCAAGAATCTGGTTCGTAGATGGAGCGAGTCAGCAAGGACGCTTCTGCAATGGACGATGCATAAGTTAGAGACGACGGCCATACCCAGCATCGCCAAACTTCTTCCACATCTCCGCCGGGAACTCATTCTGGGCGTCGGTCCGCGCGGCCAGCTCCTCGGGAATCTCGCGCCCTTGATTCCGCGATTGATGGTTAGTAAAGGTGTGCCTTGTCCTCCAGCTATGGTACCGGGCTTATTTACGGGTGAACTCTTGGACTCGTTCTCGTAGCTCGAGCAAGTCGTCTTCCGTTGGAGGAACGAAGTCCTTCGGGTGCTTGGTTGCTAGGGTGCGTAGTGCGGGGGGCTGGATGAGGGGATGGTGGATTCGTCTGATTAGAGTCCGGGAGGAAGTCCGGAGAAGACTGGGGAATCGGGGAAGGGCAGCCATGGTAAGATCAATTGTGTCTCGGTGGTTATTTATGGAATAGATCCACGTTGAGAGGTAACAGGCTTGATGATTTATACCCTCAAGGGAGGATAGAGAGGGGAGAGCGTCGGTAGCACTAGCTGCAACAACAGTGTCGATGTCACGGCGGCTAAACACGGCAAACAGCGCTATGCTTCTCCGCATGTCACCTGCTCCTCCTCTCCTCCCCTCCCTTTCGCCGACTCCTCTTTTCTCCTTCCCTTCTCCTTCGGCTTCTCCATTCCACAGAAATAAAGAGCATACAGTATCTGCTATTCACCATCTGGTTCTTGCACAGGTTCTTGCACAGGTTCTTGCACAGAATCATGCAATAGTGCGGTCTAGTAGTCGTCTACCAGTTGGCGTTCCTTGATCCCCGGTATCCGCACCCTTCGTCTTCCCCAGCTTTTGCCCACTCTCTCCCCGCAATGCGCGCTCCGTCTCCGCTTCTGCGGAGCCTGAGACCCAACACTGTCGCCCTTCCATATCGACGACTTGCACTGCGTCCATCTACAACCATAACCTCCCCTCGCATACTCTCAAGATCAATTGCCAACTACACACACCCCCATCATGCATCTGCCATATCCGTTCTCCCCACCGCCGTCGATACTACATCGTCCGAATTCCAGGAAAACGCCCAACAGATGCAAGAACTCCTTGATCGGATGGCCAGTCTCCACGGCACAATCTCGCAAGGCGGTCCCCAAAAGGCCAAGGACAAACACCTAGCCAGAGGCAAGATGCTTCCTCGGGACCGGGTCAGCGCCCTCATTGACCCGGGCACGTCGTTCCTCGAGCTCTCGCCGCTCGCCGGCCACGAGGTCTATGGAGAGGATGTGCCCGCCGGGGGAATCATCACGGGCATCGGAACGGTGGAGGGGGTGAACTGCATGATTGTCGCCAACGACAGCACGGTCAAGGGCGGCACCTACTATCCTATTACCGTGAAGAAGCATCTCCGTGCGCAGGCCATCGCGCAGGAGAACAAACTGCCGTGCATCTACCTGGTCGACTCGGGCGGTGCCAACCTGCCGCACCAGGCGGACGTCTTCCCGGACCGCGACCACTTCGGCCGCATTTTCTTCAACCAGGCCCGGATGAGCTCGCTGGGGATCCCGCAGATCGCCGTGGTCATGGGCCCCTGCACGGCCGGCGGCGCCTACGTGCCCGCCATGAGCGACGAGACGATCATCGTCGAGAATCAGGGCACTATCTTCCTGGCCGGCCCGCCGCTGGTCAAGGCCGCGACGGGCGAGGTCGTCTCCGCCGAGGATCTGGGCGGCGGGCACCTCCACAGCACGATCTCAGGGGTCACGGACTACCTCGCCGTCGACGACGCCCACGCCATCATTCTGGCGCGACGGTCCGTCTCCAACCTGAACTATCCGCAAACGAACCTACCCTCTACGCCAGGCAGTCTATCCAACACAGCAGCAGCAGCGACAACAGCACCCATCAAAGAACCCCTCTACGACCCCAGCGAGCTCAACGGCATCGTGGGCACCAACCTCCGCCGCCAGATCCCCGCCCACGAGGTCATCGCCCGCATCGTCGACGGCAGCGAGTTCGCCGAGTTCAAGCGCGACTACGGCACCACGCTCGTGACGGGCTTTGCGCGCATCTACGGCCACCAGGTGGGCATCGTCGCCAACAACGGCATCCTCTTCTCCGAGTCCTCCCTGAAGGGGGCGCACTTCATCGAGCTCTGCGCCCAGCGCGGCATCCCCCTGGTCTTCCTGCAGAACATCTCGGGCTTCATGGTCGGCGCCGACGCCGAGAAAGGCGGGATCGCGAAGAACGGCGCCAAACTGGTGACGGCCGTCGCGTGTGCCGATGTGCCCAAGTTCACCGTGGTGTTTGGCTCCAGTGCCGGCGCCGGGAACTATGGCATGTGGTGAGTACCCCCTTTCCCCCTTTGTGGTAACCTGAAACTAAGACTGATTGACAATCCCCCAGCGGCCGCGCCTACTCCCCAAGATTCCTGTTCATGTGGCCCAACGCCAAGATCGGGGTCATGGGCTCCGAGCAACTGTCCGCGGTGATGGAGGCCGTGGGCCGCACCGCCGACCCGGACCTAAAGGCCCGCATCGACCGCGAATCCGAGGCGGTGTTCTCGTCGGCGCGCCTCTGGGACGACGGGGTGATCCCGCCCGCGCAGACCCGCCAGTTCCTGGGGTTGGGGCTGGCGGCCGCCGTCGGGGGCAAGGTCGATGCCGATGTGCGGACGCGGTTTGGGGTGTTCCGGATGTAGTCCCATAGTTACATACAACACACACATCTTAACTAAACATCAACATCGACGAATAAAATTCACTAGCCTTGAAGTTCAAACCTCTGGCCCTATCCCTTTTCCTCTTCGGTGTAGTACCGCTTTTGCTTGGTTATCCCCCCCCCCCCCCCCGGGTATGAACCAGTCTCCCCTCCCCAACGGGGAGGTATCGTATATCCTCCAAGTAACCACCCGTGTGATAGATCAAGGTTCATAACTGCAACCAACCAACCCCCTTGCGATTCGATACAGTGCAACACCTACCTAGTCAGCCATAGCCCGGCCCGGATCCCTTTTGACAGCGTCAAATACCCGCGGCGATGACATCACCGCCGGTTGTGTAGTGTAATGGTTAGCACCCGGGATTTTGATTCCCGTAATCCCGGTTCGATCCCGGGCATGACCTATGTTGTTGTTGTCGTTCCAGTTACGTGATTTTCGTTCCTCTTTTGCCTTTCGTTTTTTCCTTGAACACTTAGTTAGCACTGCATTTCCCTTTCTGCTTCTGCTGGCGTGGGTGAGTGAGTTAAGTGAGTGAGTGGGGTTTGTCTGGATGACATAGGGGTTTGTTTAAGTTACCCAAGTCGCAATGGGTGACTTGACTTGATTTGACTCGACTGTGGTTCTGTTATGCTTCCGAGGTACCGGCGGGAATGCATGCGACGTATAGCACTCGTTGGGGCTGGGGGGTGGAGGTTCACCATTGAGGGATTATAGGAGTCTAGACTTCAGGTTGCTTCTACCCGGAATAGTAGCGAGTATAATTCCCGTCTAGTTCAGCTGAGGATGCTTCTCTGGGACGAGATCACTTCGTTACCAGCTGGGTACCGTCCACAGCCATCGGCGATACCAACCCACGACATTGACCGGCCGAACCGACGTAGTGGTTGGAGAACAGCGAAGGCTTCTGTCCCCAGGGCGATGTAAGTATCTGGCTCGTCTATCTATGCCGGCATATAGAGCTACCACATCGGGCACATCGCAAACAACACCTGCCGGAAACAAAGATCAATGGCTCACAGCAGGGCTGCTGTTGATTTCCGCGTCTTTCGATTCTCGCGACATATGCAATCTATCATCCAACTTTTTTCTGTTTCAAACAAAACTGTGTTTATAACCATACACCAGACAATGATACCATGCGGTAGGATGGCAACTAGATCAGTAGACCAAATATACACTTTCCCTTTTCCATCGCAACAAAAAAAAAACGATTGGGCTATAAATCACATATATCTATCGTGGGAACACATTGACAGCGTATGATGAAACATGGGGTCTGAAATTCAACATTAAACAAGGATTGTAGACGGAAAGGGGTATGTGCAGCCAAAAAAGAGAGAGAAAGCCAAGAAATGGAAAATAGATCATGCGGACAAGCAAATGATTTGCTCGCTTGCATTTTGAAAGTTTGTTGCTTCACTTCGTCCCGATATAAATCGATTATAAGATCACGCAAGGGCCCTTCCGCCGCTTCTTATCCTTCTTTTTCTCACCCCGATTGGGGTTCTCCCGTTTGCGGGAGGAGTCTTCGCTCTTCGAGTTGCCTTGCAGGTCCTTTCGGATGATCTGCCGGCAGAGGTCAATGAAGACCTCGTTGACGTTGGCTCGTCGACGAGCCGAGGTTTCGTAGTAGGGGGCGTTGCCCCAGCTCTGGGAGAGAGCAAACGCGCGGGCGCGTGGCACCGCGCGGTCTTCCTCAAGGTCGGATTTGTTGCCCACAATGACAATAGGCACTTTCTCATCCTCCTTGATGCGGATAATCTGCTCTCGTAACTCGGATAGTTCGTTCAAGGACGACATGCTCGTGATGGAAAATACGAGCAGAAACCCCTGTCCTTGCTTCATATATAGCTCTCTGCAGAGTGCGCTGTCAGTTGCGAGATCGGATGAAAGGGAATGCTGGTGATCATCTTGCGATTGCGCGATTGCGTGATCATAGGGACCTGTGATGCTGGAGGGTGGGCGCAATGTTTACCTCATGGCCGCTGTAGATTGGTTAGATGAGAGGAAGCACCATCGAGGGACCATTCACTTACTGAACTGTTCTGTTCCTGCAGTGTCCAGTCTGCACATGTCACTCAAGTCAGTTCCCTTGATCCATCATGGATTGGCCCAGCGTCTAGGAACCCGAATTTCAGACTGTGGGAGGAAACATACATTTCCAGAATACATTGTCGGCCCTGCTGCGGGTAAGTGGCTGGACATGTCTCGGGGGGAAGTGGTGTCACTTACGTCTACCTCGATCTGTTTTCGGTAGGAGTCCTCGATTGTCGGGTCGTAGCTCTCAATCCACACATTTTGCACGAATTGAGCTGCCTGGCGTTAGCACGAATACAAGTCAGACGGAGTAGTGCCCTCGTCCAGACATACCCGTAAGACAGCTCTTGCCCACACCTCCTATTGCGCCGACGAGAATCGCCCGTCGTCAGTGGTGAATCTTTCCCGATCCCAGGAGGAGAGTATGTGCCTACCAGCGCCTAGAACGACGATATGATACTCCCGTCTGTAGTCGGAAAGCGAGCGATCAGCAACCTCCGCCGAGTAGATGTGTCCGAGCATGATGCGCAAGTCGGGGGACTTACTGTGGCCGCATTGAGACGATTGGCTATAGCTTCGCGATTATAGTGATGTTTGGGGCTGGGTATGAAGGTGTGAAAGGCGAGTCAGGCTCCGACAAAAGTATCGATGTCGATTGTGTTGTCTGACCTGGGAGGGGGCCGAATCTGCGGTCGAGACGGGAACGCGGCCGAATGCGACAATTGAGAAAAGGTTGGCCGAGGGAGGAGGGAGGAGTAGCCCTGAGGAGGAGGAGGAGGAGGGAGGGGGAGGGCAAAACAGGCTTTGTCGATATTTGTCTGTATCAATCCGCACCAATCAATCAAAGGATGGATGGGAGGGGGAAGGGAATGATCGGAGGTGAAGAATGAATTGATTCCCTTTCGGAGGGTTGGAGGCGGGAGAGTCGGGAGGAGTGCTGGGAGAGCAAGGGCAACATCCACACGCGGTCCGTTACATCGGTCTTAATGCCAATCGATTCCCAATCAATTCCGCGGGAGCTGGCAGGCGGAAAGCGTCGGACAAGCTGGACACAAGAGAAGTCTGGTGAAGCAAGGTGTGGGAAGGAGGGAAGTTGAGTTGGGGGGTGGTGAGAGGAGGGTCGGAATAAAGGAGAACGATGGTGGTTCGAGATGTCGAGGCGGCGAGTTTTTGGAAGTGGGTGGGAAGGTGGGTTTGGTTTGGAAGGAGGAGGAGGAGGAGAAGAAGAAGACAAGAGAGAGAGGGAGGGGAATTTCGTGTTTCTGACCACCACCACCACCACCACCACTACCACTACCACTACCACTGGTGCCGGAGACTAACTAGAAAATAATTAAAACTAACAACAAGCGTGAGCAGAGTACTCCGTAGAGCAACAAGAAGCGTCCAAGAAGTGAGCAAGAGCCAGACAAGAGGCAGAGGCAGAGACAGAGGCAGCCAGCCAAGCCCAGTCCACCGAGAAAGTGGGTTGGATTGTGGTTCGGCTTTGTGTGGGGAGGAGGAGAGGAAGAGGAAGAGGAAGAAATGCATGGGATTGCGATAACAGACCGATTGATCAATGTCGGAGCACACATGCGCACATACACGGACTGAATTCACGCACCTTTCTGACCTTCGATTGTTCTCTGACCCTCTCCTATATCCTATACTTAAGTTCTTGTGTTTTCTTTTCGATGTCTTTGATGGGCACACCCGCTGAAGAAGAGCCCCCGGAAGTTCGTTTGTTCGTTTCGGCGGCGGTGAGGATGGCAAGCGATCTTGTTGTGGTCCAGGAAAAAACCTTAAACAATCAATGATTAGACTAGCATTGCTTGAAGCTTCTCCCCATCCCGTCCGGAATGCATTCCCCCAAACTCAATCCGGCATAACAAGGAACAAGAGGGTGTGAGAGAGGGTGTGGAAGAGAGAGCGCGAGTCTGAGGTCAGATCGTCTCTTGTGTAATTCCGAGGGTGGAGGGGACAGTACATCGAGTAACTAGTAGCTACCGTACTCTTCCTCCGAGAAAGGGGGGAAACCAACATGGTTTAGCCAGAGAATAATTGAATCAGCCGTCCTGTCCTGCTCCTATGCATGTGTCCGACTTCTGGAAGATCATTCTTCGGGCTCGAAGGACGTCTGCATTGTTGGAGGGGAGACTGGAGAGGAGGAGGGGAGGAAAGACAGGGTAACTAGCCATTGACGAGGATGAATAGACAACAAGCAATTGAGCATTCAACAATCACAATCACTTACCTGAGCTTTCTCTTGCGCCAGGATCACCTTATAGCGGCTGTATGTACCTGCTAACTCTTGAAAATTGGCAATTCAGATAGACAGACACCCAGACGGGGTGGTTGTTGGACAATATAATCCCCCGGATGGCAAGGTACAGTACAACAATACACTCAATAGAAAAGTACCAGTACTGAGGGTACAAAAGTCCCCCAGACCACCACCTTCATGATCAATCAATCATCGACAATCATCAACCCTGGGCACCTCCATCCATTACCTTGTATCATGGATCTATTTGCCTCTTTCCCGATACGGCCCATCTATGCTAACCCCTCGTTTCAACGTCATCATCACCAACCAAGACTGCATGCATCCCTCATCCTCGATCATTCCCATCTATCAAATCTAACATTCACATCCCTCCCTCTATTGCCTCCGGTCTCCATTCTCCCTTCCCTTCCCTTCCACTTCCACTTCCACCTCCACTTCCACTCCCCACGCCCCAAAAAATCCACCAAACCTCTACCTCCTCCTCCAACCCACCCCCAGATAAACAAGACAGAACCGGAAGTAAGTTACACTCCACTCCACCAAAGAACCAACAGCACCGAACCCCCAACCCCCAAGCCACCGAACCCAAGCGACCAGCAATTCCGGAAAGTACTGAAACTGTCAGGGACGGATCAAATCCTTCAAGTTCTCTTCATCCTGCAGGGTACTTTCACCTCACTGGTTCGATGTCCCCCCTCGCCCCCAAAAGAGTCAAGCCGCAGCCACAGTACGCACAGCACCGCACTGGGCACCTACAATAGTCCTCCGTATTAATTGAGAGCCCACCACATCCAGCAGGTGCTAGATGATAGGTAGGTAGGTAACTAGGTACTGACTGACTTTCTGCCTGCGCGGTGTGGTTTACGACTTAAGCACCTATTGGGCTGTACAGTACTATTGTCACTGCCTAACGTGCAGCGCGGGGAAGGAAGAGACAGAGAGAACCGCCATGCCATTCGAAGTACCGGGGGGGGGGGTGTGGCGGGTGGATGTATCCGAGTCGAGATTCGATGTATCACACCGACAAGTAACTCATGAGGTGAGGTAAGGTAAGGTACTCCGTAGGTTTTACTTAATTCGTATGCTATGTACGGAGTAATGTGTGTACAGCTATGACCTGTACTGGGAAAGAGGCTCGTAGCTTGATGAAGCTCCCGCCTCGTCATCGGGATCGTGATTGTTTCAATGCGTCTCTGCCCTCGGTGAGTTATTGAAGAGGGGAGGTGACATGAGTTGCATTCTTGCATCGCATCGCATCGCATCGCTTCGGCCAGATGTTGACGTGACGTGACGTGACGTGGGCGCTCAGTGTCGGGCGGTGGACATCTACTTCTACTTCGGTACTTGTATATGTGTGTGTGTGTGTGTGTGTGTGTGTATTGCCAGGTGTACACTCGCCAAGGCTGCGCTGGGCTGCTTGTCATGCCAGAAGTGAAATGCATCGGATGTACGTACTAGGTACTTTGTTTGCCGCGAACAATCTTTGCGGCGTCTACTCCGTGCACACACCGAAGAGAAGGTGTCGGCCGAATACACTCTTAGTGAAACCACTGTATCAGGCTACATGCACGAACACGCCATCCACGCCCTAGCAGAAGGGAAAACAACAGCCCGTCAAGCCGAGTTCGCGAAAGTACTATGCATCTATACCATGTATGTATCTTCAATGCTCTGCATCCACAGCCAATTGGATGCAAGCCGCTGCAAAGAGGGTTATGTATTAGCGTTTTCAGGGGTCACGGCTTCTGATGGAGACGTCCTCGCTTATAGTGAATTCTAAGCCGGGGAGCAAATCCTATCGAGCTGTCAAGCCTGTATTCTAGGTTATATGTACATACATGCGCACCCCTCTCTCCCGTCTAAATGTGACCCTGCCTGATCGAGTCAAAGCTGCAACAGAACAGGCATATCACAAAACCTTAGTAGTCGGATCCTGCCACCTCCTTGACGCCATTGACTTGTTCCTTCCCCTTGCGGCTGTACTTGTCCAGTGCGTCAAACACATGGCTGAACACTCGTCGGTTCACATCATGGGCCCATAGGAAGTCCAGATGCTCGTACTCCGGGATCTCCTTGGCCACGGTCCCGCTGGGTAGCTCGGATAGCATGACGTTGATGTCGACCAGGCTGTCACTTCCGCCGTACAGCAGGACGATAGGGGTTTTGATGTTCTTGGTCGGGTACTTGGCCGGCTTGTAGAAACGCTCGCTGGCCACAATACTCAGCGGAGCGTGGATCTCATCGTCGTAGAACTGGAAATTCCGGTGTCGGATGATCTGGAACCAGTGCACCACCGACTTGGTGCTTGTAAAAGAGAACAGGTGCAGGTACCCCGCGAGCTTCTGCCAGCGACTGATATTCTTGCATCTCCAGTTGAAGAGGCCGCGGAGTGACGTGTCAATGATCCAAACGAAAATCGGGGGGTAAAGAATGGTCTGCCACATAGTAGTGGAGCTGAGGATGCTGCGTCTGCCGAACAGGAGGAACAGGAAGTTAGGCGAGGCCTTCATCAACGAGTCTACTACGTGGTTCGGCAGGCCTGTTGGGGCCATCGCGGGCGCGAGAGCCACGAAGACATCAATCTTCTGGTTCAGGAGCGGATGGATGGAGAGAGTCGCGAAGGCCTGCGCCGTGCCTTGCGAGAAACCAACATATGACAAGGAGGGCTGCTCCGTCACGTCAAGAATGTATCGGATGCTGTCGGGGATATCATGAAAGGAGAATTGGTCGATGGAGAAGTCCCAGAACTCGTTCGTCAACGGAGAGTGCTTGATGGACTTCTTGGAGTACTTGTTGCCGCGATTATTCCCAAGCCACACATCGTAGCCGCGCTCTACCAGTTGAAAAGGCAGGCATCGCTGTTCCTCGGACAGGCAGACCCAAACCTCACTGCACATCATCAGCCCATGGTGAAGGTAGACAACCTTCTTCTTGATGCTTCCTTCACCCTGGTTGATCCGTTTCCCTTCCTCGCCCTTGCGAGAGGAGAGGCGGTGGAGGCCGAGCAAGTAGCCGTCTCCAGTCTGAACGATGTGCTCCTCCGCCTGGTATCCGAACAAAGCGCAAATGTCCGTGAAATCGGACGCCTGCGCCACGGCCGCAGCGACCTTCTCTTCATTCTCACGCTCATCGAGCTCCTCCCCGGGAGGTATCAGGAGGTTGAAGATTGTCTTCGAACGATCGTAGCAGAACCGAATGACAGGTTCAGCTGTATCCAGTCAGTGCCCGACCCTTGGCAAAACAACATCAATCCGGGTGTACTTACGCAGACAAAAAGTGATAATATGTATGACCCATTCCAGCAACACCAAGATCAGCGACCCAAACAGCGCCAAATACTCAAACCAGAACAGCCTCCCAATAACCGGTACACGCGCCATGATTGCAGCCCAAGTTTCACCGCACTATAGGGCAAATGAACAGAAGATAGAAAGAGAGGCTCAATGAGTTGGAGGATTATCGTAGCTCATAGCGCGTCGAATCAAGAGTCTCATCGTTGAGTGAAGGCAGCAAGGCAAGGATACAACCCGCCTTCTAAAAAAGGGGAGTTTCAATCACAGGGTCCGTTCATCTTCCCAGACGTCATGCTGGAGGGGGTGGCAGGCGGCCGCTTCTTCATGTGATGCTTACCTAATCCGGGGGAGACGAGGGCACTCCGAGCCGTCGAGTTTGCCGGCCGCAGATGATCATCAGGTTGCTGCCCGTTCTTTGGTTGCCGTGACTGAATACCTTCTTGTTCGAGCAGTCGGGCAAATCCAATCCACGATGCCGGCTTCCTGTCAGGATATCAGTGAGTCATTCTCTCCTCAGTCTGTTCCCCTCAATTCCTCTCGCGGCGGCAGTTGGTAGCGACTTGCGCGCGATCCAGCATTCGTGGTCGGAGACAGAGGACAACCTCGAGATAGCCCTCATACCATTGTCACCCACTCTGCTAACCGACCTTCCTCTCGCGGAAACAGGGAACGCACTGGCGCAATGCCTCCAAGAATCCGACTGCATCATGGTCCAGCGACACAGCCCGCGGGAGTGTCTCAGTGACCCTCACGTCGACCAGCTTCCGATGCGATGCCAGCAGCTGCGGAAGGGCTTCAGCGAGTGCAAGTGAGTAAACTCCCAACCCACCGAGGATCGATTCCACCCGCCCAATTTTCCTAGATTTGGCCTACACAAGCTAACACCCAATCCCCCTTCCGCCGCGCAAAAACAGACGCGGCTTGATCGACATGCGCAAACGATTCCGCGGGAACCAGCCCATCTCGGTATCGACGGAACTCGAGGGCGGAAGCTCCAACAAGTCCCAGCAATTGTATGCGGGCAAGCCGGCGTTCGAGTCGGTCAAGGAGATCAGTGGAGATGAGGTGAAGATGGATCCCGAGAAGACCAGAGGTCTGTGATCGCGGGGGGGAAAAAGAAATGATTGGTGTTACCCAAGGGGAGGCGGGCAAGTTAGTTGTCATCAAGAACAACCACCCTCCAGCTTGGCACTCGTAACGTTTTTTCTGCGTTATACCATTCCCCAGCCCCCTCGGGACTCAACTGCTCTGCTCTATCTTTTTATGCTCTTTGTTTCTGTTTCATCTGCACTGGCATGGTTTTGGAGTTGATTGGAAGAATATCTGGGACTGTGCTTTCCCTCCTCTCATGTGATTAATCTAGGACTACGTTCTGGGACTATTGTACTGTACATACTTTGAAAGAAGCTCTTGCGAATATTCTCTACAACCATACTCGTAGGCGTGAGGAAAGTACAACGGACACGTGGGCGAACGGAAATATTGTGACAGACATAATGTACGAAAACTGTCATTGACTGGACATCTAGATAAATTACAATCACTGGTTCTTCTTGACCTGAGCCGAGGCCGGCTCCGAGTAGAGCCACACGGCCACGAAAGCCATGAAGCCACCGATGACAGACCACAGTCCAGCGATCCAGACCCACCCGCCGCTGATCTTCCAGCTGCGCGGGAATTCGTTGTGGGCGAAGTGACGCACCGTCACCTCGTGCTTCTCCTCGATGGTGGTGAGGAACGGACGCTTGTAGTTCACGCGGAACGAGAAGATACCGTGCTGGTCGGGGACGGTGAACTGAGTGCGGAAGACGGTGCTGTTCTCGGTGCGGTAGGCAGGCTCCAGCTTCAGACGATGGAAGGGAGAGAGCATGGTGAACTCGAGCTGGAGGGCGTCTTCGGCGGGCATTTCGAAGGGCACGAACTTGTCGTAGCTGTACTCGGAGATTTCGATGCTGAAGACCTGTTGTTGTGTTAGTCTAGGATCTTGTCTGCCCGGAGTCAACATAACCTACAGTCTCATTCTTGACCCGGTAAATGGTGGGGTTCAAGTCCTCGGCGGTGATATCATCCTGGGCGAGATGGTGCTCAATCTTTCCGACCTTGAGCACTCCAGTCTCCTTGAAGGTCCAGGCAGTCAATTGCTTGGCAAATTCCTGGTTGACCGTCTTGGTCTCCTCGCCGCTGCCGGGTGCCTTGACGGTGGCGGTGAACCACTTGTCCTGGAGACTCTCCACGGAGCCCAGCAGGGTGAAGCGAGAGGAGCTGCGGGTCTGCAGGGTCGAGATGAGAGAGAGCTGGGAACCGGTGGCCCAAATGTCCTCAACAGCAGCGACTTCCTCCTTGGGGTTGTAGCTGTAGGCGGTGACGGGGGCACGCAGAATAGGCGCAGCAAGAATGTTGTCGCCGAGAGTGTGAGGAGCAGCTCTGGGGAGCGCCAGGACGCCCTCACCATCGAAGTAGGACTTGGTGTCGGGTCTCAACTGGCCGGGGCGCTGCAGAAGCAGAACGTCGTGCCTCTCGGCGGCGGAGAGGGTATCATAGTTGAAGTGGTCGACGACAATCGAGGAGCGGTCCGTCGACAGGTGAAGATCGAGCTCCAGAAGAAGCGAACTGATGGCGCTAGGAGTGGTGGACTTGCCGGAGAGAGCGAGGAGGACGTTTCCGTCCTTGTTCAGGAAGTCGACAATGTTCTTGGGGCTAAGAGAAGGTCCGAATCCTAGAGCAGCAGGTCAATCGGATGCTCAATTGCAACTATGGTAGATAGCTAAAGCCAGTGTTTCACCTTTCGACTTGGGAGGAAGAAGGAGGAGGTGGTCGTAAGCTCTCTCGCCAAGCTCGAACAGCGAGAGTTGGTCACTCTTGGGAGACTCGAAGGCGATGTCATATCCACGAGCTTGAATTCGGCATTATCAGTATCAATTGCTTCATACACACCGGATAGAAGATGCGTACCCTTCAGATCACTCCAGAGTGTGGAATAGAGACCCTTCTCGGAGGCATCCTCCAAGACAACCAAGAGACGGTTGCCGGAACTACTGAGCGCATTCACCACGGCCAGGAAGCCGAAGAGGAAGAAGGAAAGACACCACCGCATTATGCGACGGGTAGTTTATGGGAGAGAGGAAGGGAAAGAAGAGCCAGCTCCTGGCGCAAAAGAAAGAGGTGGGGAAGATGTCAAGGAGAAAAAAAGTCCAATGCAGTTTCAACCCATCAATTATCGTGATACGTAGTAAGTTAGTAGTACGTCGAGCTGACTGGAGCACGAACGGGCGACGTGTTTGGACCGAGTGCCAAGACTCTGTCTTCTCCATTGGAAACCGCCGCATCCACTTTCGGCTTGTCGTCACTTTCGACCTCTCCTCATCGTTCGTTCCACCGCCCGTCGTTTCCCCCTCTCGCATTTCCCCGATTACGACCTCTCCTCCCCTCCCCGCTAGAGTCTGGAAGATCTCGCCGCCGGTCTTTCTACGATCTCCCATATCAAGTTGAACCTATACAAGAACACCGGTCACTTTCCTTCCGAACCTTCCGCCTGACATCAAACGCCCGTCGGCTTCCAGCACCCAGAAGAAAAAAAAACCCTTTCTCCGATCCCACACCCGAGCTATCCCATCCAACATCGCAATCATGTCCGCTCCTCAATTCTGGTCGACTCCCTTCCGCTACATGCGCTGGGCCTCGCACGAGAAGCCCGCCATCTTCTACTCCCTCATCATCGGCTCCCTGGGCCCGGTCGCATTGGTGGCCATCCCCCCGATCCGCCGCTACTTCGGCTCCTACGACCCCGAGCCTGTCCCCTTGACATATCCCAGTAAGGACGATCCAGCCAGCAGCAGATTCCGTGACATGCGGGATTATGAAAGCTTCTAGTTTCCGTTGCTAACTTCGCTCTCTCTCTCTCTCTCTTTCTCAAACAGTCCCCGCCGGTCCCCGCGTCATCCCGCAGGGTTACGATGACGAGTAAATTTCCCCCATATAACACACACAAGATACAACAGCAATGCAATACCGTTCCGATTTTTTTGTTTCTTCTTTCAATTCTCAGAGGGTTCTGAGTCTGGGGTTTGTCGTCATTATAAGCTAGGTTTAGGTCTCGAGCAAGCAAGCGATTCGAGAGGGGGGTGTGAGGGTGCCATCGGAGATATCGACAACGTGAACGCACAAATTCGAGGCTCTGGGGGGCAAGCTGAGGCGGCAAGCTGGCTGAGAGGCAATGGAGTCAAATCACGGGATCTCGGGTCTGGCGAGCGGAGCTTCCTCGATCCTGATATCAGCATCCATTCCCGCCTCGTTGATTGGCGTGCCGCCCATGGCTTGCTAGACTCGGTGGGCGCGCGCGTTACAATGTACTGTACATGAGAAGATGTATCACTGAGCAGAGAGATTGAGGAATGTCTTGTTCAAGCAAAGCTTTTTGATTCTTTTATTGTACAGGATTTTATCCGCCGATCCACGGCTAATCTATTCAGAGATAAGCACCGACTTAGACTCCCGACCGCAGAGTGTGTCATTAGGACTCTTCAAGCATGTCTCTTCTCAGTTCTGGTCCTGAAAAAGAAGGACCTGATCCTGATGTAGTGACTCGCTCAGAGATTCCAGATATGACTGCTAATTAGGTCAGATGTCAAGAAGATGATTTGTACGACGCCAAAGAAAAGGTAGTAGCACGTAGTAAGGGCAGATTGATGTCAGGGTCAGTATGGGAAAGAACGAGAAGCAAGACCGATGTCGAGTTTTTTTTAACACAGTGACTGAGCCAAGCACCGTATCAGTAGAAGTACAGAATTGTCCACAGAGGAAGGCACTGGGTCACCGATATCCAGATTTATCAGCATTGCCGTAGTGAGAGGAAAGCAAGCAGAAAGCAAAGCGTGGAAGATGGGATTTCACAAGGCTAGAATAACCGAGATGGACCTTGCACATTGGGCACACTGATAAGTTGGCGGAAAGGCAATGGCGATGACGAGGTATCGAGATGAAGTGCGAGCCAAGCTGTCCATGTTGGTGTAGCAGACGCTTGAGAGAATGTAAGCTAATAGCACAAACGCCGGATAAACGCCGGATGGCAATGCTCATTCATCATCATCCTCATCATCCCAGGGGACATCCTCATTGTCAATCTCGGCACAAGTCAAGTAGCGAACACTCGAATCGCTGACATTGGACTCCAAGAGCGGCTCCAGCTTGTCCACACAAAGCTCCCTGAGGCAGAGCAAACCTGCATTAACCTCGTCCGCATCCCCCTTGGGGCAATCGTCTTCGTCAAGATAGGGGGCCCATTGATTGTCATATTCGTCATTGTCGTCATCCTCCTCTTCGCACAAGTAGCGATAGAGAATGAAGCCTCCCTCTGCGCCACGGAAGCCGTTTCCCTCACTGATATTCCTGTACACCCATTCTCGGAACCGAGTAAGTGCCACCCACATATGCGGGCTCAAGCCCAGCAAGTCAGACGGGCCTGGATCCTCCGAGGGGGCAAACTCGATGTTCATCATGTAATCCTCGACATCTTGACAGCGTTGGACGAGCTTGTCACTATGGCTCTGGCAGACGCGGCGGGCGGCCTCGGGGATCGACATTTTCACCTCATGTTCCAAATTGTGCCATTTGCCGACCACATGGCAGGCTGCGTCCTTGAAGATCCAGGAATCCCGAAGAGTCATGGAGATGCACAGCCACTGGACGGGGTCTTCGGCCACCGCCTCCCCCAGACCGTCTCCCATGCCCACAAAAGCCTCGTCCAGAGCCGAGAACACAGCCTCAGTGGCTTCGAGCTCCTCGCCCAGGGTCATGAGGGCCTTCGTGTGGTGGAGTATATCGTCAGGCTCCTCGCCCTGATCTGCGCGAACTGCCAGTCGGTGCGAAGCGGGGTATTCAGGCTTCAAGTAAGGCACCTGATCATCCAAGCTCTTGACCATGTTGGCCCAGATCTTGCGGAGCTTTGGAGACAGGAGGTCGGCAGGCTGTGGACGCTGCGGTACCCCGGCGACGGCCTGGAAACCCGTCAGCGAGCATGAACTATCCCATGTCATATCAAATCTGTAAAAGAATTACCTCGATTTCCAGCCGGCCATACTTCCGGCCAGCTGCAGGAACCACGACAAGGTCTATTTCAATGAGAACCGGGTCGGTGCACGGATCAGCGTTCTCTCGTGCTTGCTCTATTGCCCTCTTGATAGTACCGGAGCGACTGGCGACTGCATGAGAGTGGAGTCTGTACACATCAGGCGGTACAGATATCTTGATGTCTCCGTTGAACGGCTGAAACACCGACTCACACATCTTGCAAAGACGCTTGCAGAATAGATAGTGGCTCCGTGAAATGTCAAGCCTGAATTTGTCTGACTTGGTTAGAGGTTCCGTATAGTAACGCACAGTTCGAATCTATCTCGGTTGAGGGGAGGTGAGGCCATGAAAGAACACAG